ATCAAAATAAATGAATAAGAAATCTAATGAACAGAAAAGACTAAGCTGGTCAATAAAATAGAATTAGAGGCATGGAAATGGAAGAGACTGACAATTCTCAGAGGGAAAGGGTGTGGGGTGGGGTTGGGAAGAGATTAAACAAAAATCTTATATGCATATATGCATTACCTATGGACACAGACAATAGGGTTGTGAAGGCCTGGGGCGGGCAGGAATGGGGTGGAGGGGGGCAATGGAGGGAGAAAGAGGGACATCTATAATAACCTCAACAATAAAGACTTTTTTTAAAATGAGAAAGAGAGGAAGGGGAGAGGGAGAGAGAGAGAGAGGGAGGGAGGGAGAAACATGAATGTGAGAGAGAAACTTTGATTGGTTGCTTCCCACATGCACCCCAACTGGGAATTGAACCCACAGCCTGGGTATGTGCCCTAACCAGGAATTGAACTTGCCACTTTTTGGTGTGTGGGATGACACTCCCACCAACTGAACCACACACTGGCAAGGGCAATCATTCTATTCTCATGCTCACTTTTGCAGCCAAGCTTCTTGTAACAATTATTAACATATGCCATCTCTAGTTTCTAACCTCCCATTTACACCTTATATCATGCTAATCTGGCTTTAATACCCACCATTTCATTAAAACTATTTTTGTCAGTGATAACTCTGTCACTTAATTTAATGAACATCTAATTAAACCTCTAAGTAGTTATCAGTACGGCTGACCACTCTCTCCTTTTGGAACTGCCTCTTTCTTAGTCTCTGTTATGCCAAAATATTCTTGGGCTTTCTCCAGTTTTATTTATCAATCCCTTTTATGTTCATTTCTTGGTTTCTCTCCATTCCATTAACATTTAAATGTAAGAATTTATCAGGGTTTGGTTCTAGGTTCTCTTTTCACTCTCTACAGTCTTTATCTAGGTGATTTCATTGATTTCTTTAGCTTCAAATATAGTCTATAGGCCAACAATTTCTACACTGACAGCCTTAGTCCAGGGCTCTTTTCTGAAATCCATATTTTTATGTCAAGTGCATTTTTGACTTAGTCACTTTGATGTCAAAGAGATCTGAAACTTCTCATGTTCAAAACGAATCTAGGAGGAGTCACTCCTAGATTAGAAGTGATTTTGAGAATTAGTATAAATCTACAGCAATCAAGTCAGGGGAGCATTATCCAGAAAACATTATATATATATAAAGTTTGAATAATGATAAAGGCAGTGTTTATTAAAATATATTTCAGTTTCAAAATTGAGCTATCTCCATTAAAGTTTATATATCTATTTTGTATATCAAACCATACATATATACATACATATACAGACCCATACATATTTGACCAATTAATTTTTTTTAGATTTTTTACACAATTTTTATTGATTCATTTGAGGGGGCGGGGAAGAAAGAGACAAACATCAATTTGTTGTCCCATCTATCCATGCATTCATTGGTTGATTCTCATATGTGTCCTGATCAAGGGAGGATGCTCTAACCCAGTGGTCGGCAAACTCATTAGTCAACAGAGCCAAATATCAATAGCACAACGATTGAAATTTCTTTTGAGAGCCAAATTTTTTAAACTTAAACTATATGGGTAGGTACATTGTTATTAACTTAATTAGGGTACTCCTAAGGCTTAGGAAGAGCCACACTCAAGGGGCCAAAGAGCCGTATGTGGCTCGCGAGCCACAGTTTGCCGACCACGGCTCTAACCAACTGAGCTACCCGGTCAGGGCCAATTGACTTTTCATAAAGATAAAATGCTAATTCAATGGTGAAAGAATTGACTTTTCAACAAATGATGTGTCAAAACAATTGGGCATCTATTATTAAAAAAAAAAAAAACACCCAAAAACAAAAAGAACCTCAACCTTTACCTTATACCATATACAAAAAATAATAATAATAACTCAAAATGAATGAATCAAAGACCTAGAAGTAAAATCTGAAATTTTAAAACTTTAAGAAGAAAAAACAGGAGAAAAATATTTATTTGGATTAGTCAAAAATTTCTTAGCTAGAACACAAAAAGCACAAACCATAAGAGGTAAAATGATCAACTGAATTTATCAAAATTAAATAGTTCTGTTCTTTTAAAGATACTGGTAGGAAAATGAAAAGTCAAAAAATGAGCTTAAATATTTATAAACTACATATCTAATGAAGGGCTAGTATCCAAAATATGTAAATAACTCTCATAAATCAATAATAAGAAAATAAATAACCATTTTTTTAAAAAAGGAGCTACAGATATGAATAGACATTTCACCAAAGTGAATATGTACCTGGTAAATAAATACATGAAAACATATTCAATAGCTTTAGTCATTAGTGAAGTTCAAACTAAAATCATAATGACCTACTATTATATACCTATTAGAATGACTAAAATAAAATTTTTAAAAATCTGACATTACCAAGTTCTGGCAAGGATGAAGAGCAACTGGAACTCATACATTGCTGGTGGGATTGAAAAATAGTAAGACTCTTTAGACAACAGTTTGGCACTTTCTTATAAATTTACCATATGATCCATCATCCCACTTCTAGGTACTTACCCAAATAAATGAAAACATGTCCACATAAGAACCTGTGTGCAAATATTTATGTCAGCATTTTTTCAAAATTGCTTAAAACTGCCCAGCTGGTGTGGCTCAATAGTTGAACATCGACCCATGAACAAGGAGGTCATGGTTCGATTTCAGGCCAGGACACATGCCCAGGTTGTACACTCCACCCCCAGTAGAGGGGGTGCAGGAGGCAGCTGATCAATGATTCTCTCTCACTGATGTTTCTATCTCTCTCTCCCTCTCCCTTCCTCTCTCTGAAATCAATAAAAACATTAAAATAAAATAAAAATTGCCCAAAACTAGAAGCAATACAAATGTCCTTCTTGTGAGTAAACTGTGTTATATTTACACCAGAAATTCTACTCAGCAATAAAAGGTCTAATTTACTGGTCAGTGCAACCACATCGATGAATCTCAGATGCATTATGCTAACTGGGAGAAACAAAACACAAAAGGTTACATATTGTATACCTTAATTTATATGACATTCTGAAAAAGACAAAACTATAGAAACAGAAAACAGATCAGTGGTCACTGGAGATGGGGTAAGAGTGGGGTGATTAATTACAAAGGGCATCAGGGAATTTTTTGAGATGATTGTGGTGATGTTTTCACTACTATGTTTCTCAAAAATAGTGAATTTTACTGTATGGAAATTATGCTCATGGAAACTTGACTAAAAAAAAACTGATATAAAGATTTTCCCCATATACGTGCTTATTCCTCAAGTTTCCCCATTTTAAAGAAATGACATTGCTCTCCACCCAATTTTTGAAGCTAGAATCGTACAGTTATTTTCACAACTTCCTTTTTCTTCACTGATCACTCCCCCCCCCAACTAATTTCTAATCCATCCCAAAATCACATCAATTCTGCTTGTAAAACATATTGCAAACCCATCTTCTAACCTTCCTATCCAAGTTTGCCCTTCTCAACTACACTAATTGCAATAGCTTCCCTGATGTTCTCCCGGCGTCCATTCTTGGCCTCCTCCAACCCTATCCTATATAATAAAAGCCTAATATGCTAAGTGTCCAGTCGTCCGGTTGACTGGTCGACCATTCAACCAACCAAAGTGTAATATGCTAATGATATGCTAAGGCCACTCAACTGCTCGCTATGACATGCACTGACTACCAGGGGACAGACAGTCAACTGGTAGACCAGTCGCTATGATGTGCACTGATCACCAGGGGGCAGATGCTCTGACCAGTAGGTTAGCTTGCTGCTGGGGTCTGGCTGTTCAGGATTGGGTGAAATGGGGCCAGACACACCCTGGAACCCTCCTGCAGTCCCTCCCCAGACCCAAACGTGCACTGGTGGGGTCTCTCGTCCTGGCCTGTGCCCTCTCGCAATCCTGGACCCCTTGGGGGATGTCAGAGAGCTGGTTTCGGCCCGATCCCACAGGCCACTCCCCTCAGGAGGGGACTGATTGGGCGCGAGCCTGTGGCAATGGGTCCGGAATGAGCAAGAGTGGCAGGTAGGAGATATAGGCGGCATTGGACTGGGGGTTTCAGCCCAATCCCGGCAGGCCACCCCAAGGGACCCCACCTGTGCACTAATTCATGCACCGGGCCTTTACTTTCTTCATAACTACAGAATGATGAATTTAAGTGAAAATTAAACCATGTCATTTTCTTGCTTAGAACTCTTCAATGGCTCCATTTCTAATCCCCATACCTTGGCCTCCAGCAGGTCATATGTGGTCTAACAAATCCAGTGTCATCTTGTAACACTGCCTTCTACCCTCTTGTCCTCCCACCCCAACCCCATAACCATGATACTCTAGCCTCACTGGCCTTCTTACATTTGTTGAATATTCCAAGTTTTTTGCTCTCCTAGAAACTTTACACATACTATTTTCCAGATCTAGACTCTTCTTCTTGGATCCATTTCCTTTTAATGGCTAGCTATTTCTCTTATAAAGGTTCAGCTTACATATAATATCTTTAGAAAAGTCTTAAACATTTTGTAATAGTTCCTACATAACATTCTCTTTCATAGTGTCTATTTTGCTCTTTTCCCAATTGATAATTTTATATTTATGAATTTATTTTTATAACATTTATCTCACCTACTAGAATATAAGCTCCTTAAAGGCAGAAACTATTTTTTCTTTTTCATTTACTTAGCAGATTACCTGATACATCATAGGAGCTAAATAAGTACTTGTGTAAGTTAACAAGCATCCAACAATTTAAAAAAAAAAGATTCCAAAGAGATAATCACTGAATGTCCTACACCAACATAACATTATCCATCTGTCTGTCTGTCTGTCTTTCTATCTATCTATGTATTTTTAGGGGCCCCTGACTTATGCTTAATGTATGGATATACCTACTACATTGTCTGAGATAAGACAGGATCACCAAGTTTCAAATCCATGAATGTGCAAATAGATGACAATGCCAGCCACCCAGAAAGGCTTACCTCTCCAAACCAATTGCTTGGCACAGAGAATGGAGCTTGGAGTTGTACAAAAGTGTAAAGCTGTGTGTCCACTTAAGGAGTAGCTATTGAGCTTGGCTCCATGGTCACAAAGGATCTTAACACAATCCAAGTTGGCCATTTCACAAGCCACATGAAGAGGAGTTTTCCCATTGGGTCTACAGTTGATTGTAGCATTGTGGTCCAGTAGCACCAAAAGACATTCCACGTGACCAAACAAGACAGAGAGATGCAGGCCTGTTGCCCAAGAAGACTTTAACTTATAACTAGGCAACCAATAACCTGAAAAAGAAAGGGAAAGTTTAGCTTCTTGGCCTAGGATTTCCCCATGTTTTATGAGGATTTTTAGAGTATTTTACTTTGGTCACATTTATAAAATTGGGGCAGGGAGATGATTCAGAAGTTGTAAACTAGTAACTAATGGGTCTACAAATGCTTAGTTAAGTGTCATATTTGGATGTACAAAGGGGGACAGGTGCTCTTGAGTTCTTACTATGTCTACCAGCCTCTATTATTTTGTTCTTTTACTTACTTTTCCTTCCTAGGTCTCCCAGGCATTTGAGTTTGAGACCTTCATTTTTGTGATGGCATTTTATTTTATACTAGGGGCCTAGTGCACAAATTCGTGAACCTTGAAAGGAACTGTGGGCTGTGAGGCTGCAGTGGGCACAGGGGCGGGTCTCAGCCCATCCTCCATGCCCCTGCCTGGCCCCTCCCACTGCGGCTACTGGTCTCCTGTCTGCTGGCAGCCCTGCTCCCACCGCATCCGCTCCCATGCGCTGATAGTGCTGGCCCCACTTGTATCTGCTGACGGTGCAGAGCGATTGGGACAGGCACCAGCAGTGGGTGCGAGCAGCAGCTACCAGCCCCAAGCACCCCTCAGGAGCATGGGGAGGTGGAGAAGCCCTCAGGGGTGATCGGGGCTGGTAGCCGAGGCTCGCATCCACTGATGGTGCTGAGCGATCGGGACCGGCGCCGGGCGCTGGCAGCGGGTGTGAGTGGGCCTGGCGCCTGCAGCAGGTGCGAGCACTGGGTGGGACTGCGGCACACAGGAGCAAAGAATTTTCAGTAACCACCAGAGGCTGGCTCCGATGATGGCGACCAGCGCCCCGCCTTGGTCTGGCGCCCCCACTCACCTGCTCTAACATCCTGCTGCAGCCGATGCCCGCTATGTTCCACGCTCTGCTGCCTGCTGCCAACACCTGTCAAGTTCTGTGTGCGCCTCCTGGTGGTCAGTGCACATCATAGCGACCAGTTGTTTGGTTGTTCGGTTGTTCTGCTGCTCAGTCTATATGCATATTAGCCTTTTATCATATAGGATTTAGCCTTTTATTATATAGGATGGTAAGTTACACAAGACTCATCTATATATAATATAAAAAGCCCTAATATGCAAATAGACCGAACGGTGGAACAACTGAACAACCAGTCGCTATGATGTGTACTGACCACAGGGGGCACATGCGAACATTGTGGGTGTTAGCAGCAGGCGGCAGAGCGTGGAACATGGCGGGCATCGGCTGCAGCAGGATGTTAGAGCAGGTGAGTTGGGGCGCCAGACCAAGGCGGGGCGCTGGTCGCCATCATCGGGGCCAGCCTCTGGTGGTTACTGAAAATTCTTTGCTCCCGTGCACCATGGTGCCACCGGGCGCTTGCACCTGCTGCCAGCGCTGGCTCCTCTCGCACCTGCTGCTGGCACTGGAGCCACCATTCGCACCTGCTGCTGGCACCTAGCGCCAGCCCCAATCACTTGGCACTGTCAGTGGGTGTGAACAGTGGCTGCTGGCCCCAACCGCCCCTCAGGGCTTCTACACCTCCCCCTGCTCCTGAGGGGCAATCAGGGCAGCAGCCACAGCTTGCACCCACTGATGGCACCGGCCATGTTCGCATCCGCTGCTGGCATCGGCCCCAATCACTCTATGCCATTAGCAGGTATGAGTGGGGCTGGCACTGTCAGCGCATGGGAGTGGCAGCAGCGGGAGCAGGTCTGCCAGCAAACAGGAGACCGGGGTCGTGGTGGGGGTAAGGAGAATGGGCCGAGACCCACCCCTGTGCCCACTGCAGCCTCATGGCCCACAGTTCCTTTCAAGGTGCATGAATTCATGCACTGGGCCCCTAGTATTTAAGAATTTTTAAGATCCCAATCATTGTCTTGAATGATGTCAAAGATTTAATTACAAGCTTAAAATTTTTATTCCATCACAGCTCTTTTCCAAATAGTTGTGGCTGTTGTTGCCAATCTAAGGTGCGAAAGTATTTGATGTTTTTACAAAATTTGTCACACCAAGATTTTATTTGCCTGTTTGTCAGTTTACACAATACCTTTTTCCAAAGAAGAATTTAAGGCAACTCACAAATTTTACACTAAATTTTTTAATAACCTAGAAAATAAGTGCAAAAAAATAAGGTAAGAACATAAAAAGAGGTCAAGGGTAAGATAGGTACACAAAATTCACACCATATCTACACACTAGAACTGCATTGCAAGTTTGCCTTTGAATTTCCTAGAAGGAAATAAACAGGAAAACCTATGCTATGCAATTAACTATGCCCACAAACTATATACAAATTAATTGGTCAGGAGGAGCATAGTTGTTCCTAGAAGTGAGATCTTAGATAAATTTTTCCCATTAGTTGGAAATGTTTTCTCTCTCTCTCTTTTTCTCTCTCCTTTTCCCCTCTGACCTCTGACTTCTGAACACTGGGCTAGTTCTTTTTATCTAAGGCTCCAACATTGCCATATTTGACAAGCTATAACAATATCTTCATGAACCTTCTTTCAATGTCAATACCCAGAGCCATGGCATTAAGCTCACTATGAGTGGGGACTGAAAATAGGTACAGAAAGATGAAATATAGATGGCAAGATGAAGATGCAGAGACAGCGAGAGAGGGAGAGAGAGAGAGAGAAGGAGAGAGAGGGAGAGAGAGAGAGCGAGAGAGAGAAAGAGAGGGAGAGATAGAGAGAGGGAGAGGGAGAGAGAGAGAGAGAGAGAGAGAGAGAGGCAAACAAGAAGAGAGAGAAGAACATCGATTTGTTCCATTTATTTATGCATACATTGGCTGATTCTTGTATGTGCCCAGACCAGGGATTGAACCTGCATATTGGGATGATGCTCTAACCTACTAGCTACCCAGCCATGGCTCAAAATACAGTTTACCATGGATAAATCAGAAGTTTGCTTTCAGGTTACAAAAATTCCACTATATACATACTAGGTAAGCAGACTATGATTTAATAGTAATTTATTTGAGGAAAGGCCTGTGGATTTGAGTTGACAGTAATCTCAAAATGAGCCAACAGGGGGATGGAGCTGCCAAAAAGTTAATACAATCGTAAGTTTCATAAATGAAAGTGCAGGGCCCAGAACAAGTGAAGTAAAGTTGTATTCTTCCCTGATTAGAATGAGGTCAGAATAAATCTAGAATACTGTGATATTTCTGAGCATCTGGGGGCACTCAGAGGATGAAGACCAGGGGATCAAGTATTAAATTCTCTCATTTCAGTGAAAAACACTACATATGTGCTCCTCCTGGGTATTTATCCTACAAGTATAATCACTCAAGTGTGAAATGTGAAACTCTTTGTGAAGGGTATGAAGTTCCATACCCTTGGCCTATAGACAAAAACATACACTATCACATGCACTACATTACAGCATTGTTCTTGATGGCTAAGGATTACAAACAACCTCAGTGTATATAAATTATGGTACATCCATACAATCTAATACTACAGAGCCATTACAAAGAAGGGGCACTTCTGTGTTTACTGATATGGAAGAATCTCAAGATATGGTATTGAGAGAGAGAGAGGCAGGAACCTGAACAATGTGTATAATATGCTATCATATGTGTATATATTTATAAACACCTAGAACAAGAGACTGGTTACAGTGGTGGTCTCTAAGAACTGGGGGTCAGGGAACTAGGCCATTATTTCCTTGTCCTTGAATGCCCTCTTTGAACTTTCAAATTTAGTGCCTTGTGGATGTATTCTTACTTATAAAAATAAATAAACTATTGTCCCCCTATCCAAAGGGGGGAAATAATTTAGTTTAAAGAGGCCAGTTAGAGGGTCATGCATAATGCTCATTAATTCTGAAGTAATGAAGGAGCCCAAACCAACGTTTATTTTTCTGCAGCCCACCTTCTAATGCACACACACACACACACACACACACACACACACTCACATACACACTTTAATCCCTTTTTCATCCCATCAGAATTTTAGGGCCATTTTACTTTCTCTTCTTCCCAAATCTTCCATTATTTAAATCTGCTCTTTAAAAAGAAATACGAAGTTAATTCACGCTAAGGTATAATGAACTGAGGATGGTTTGAAGTGTGACCCTCTTAGGATTATCTGAATTTGGGTAGAAATCTGTATTCGACAAATAGAATTAAGTTCTAAGATGCTAATTTGAGATTATTGACACTGAGAAGGGAAAGTATTTGGTGATATGGACTTTCCCTGGCAGAGACAAATAGTATCAGATAGTTGGGGAGTGCCAGTCCTGTGCCTGTAATGTGTGTGTGTGTGCGTGCGTGTGTGTGTGTGTGTGTGTGTGTGTGTGTGTAAATAAATATGCACACATAATCTATGTGTATATATCCATTTATACATCTTTATGTAACTGTGTACATTGCATCTGTGTTCCAAACAGAGTTGTTAAACTATATGGTATGCAACCTACTTTTGATAATGAATGAATCACTTTTGACATTAATACTCCATCAGTCATTTTCATACTCAAACTTCCTCAACAAGCAATTTGCAAAGGCAGTCTTTTCTAACTATCTTTGAGAGAAGCTGGTTCCAGTTCTGAAACCTGGGGTGTGTTTTGCCTGCCGATTAGCAGCAAAGATTAAACAGCCCTATGCAGCGGCTGATTGGAAATTCATGCCTGCCTCTGCAATGGGAAGAAAAATGATCCCTGAAAGGAAGCAGCAGAGAGCTGATTAAGAAAACACCATTTTGATGTAAAATCAAAGACACACAGAATGTTAGCGCTGGAGGGAAGATTATCCAGTCCAAGTCTTTCATTTTCCAGATGAGAAAACTGCCACTTTCGCAGACTGCTGGAGCCATAAGTCTCCTGCCTCAGTCCAAGCTAATGGACTCAGGATATCTGCAGTGCAGGGTTTCCATCTGTCTTTGTCTTTGTGGAAGCAGAATAGGTTCAGCGCCAAGCCTGCTTCACAAATCACGAGGAAGGAAAGAAGATCCCAGATTCATCTATAACATGTCACATCTCTGGTTTGGAAATGCCTTTGCT